TGGGCATTGAATTGAGTTCTTAAAAGACAAGAGCGAGCATTGAAAACACGCTTCCAGGGGGTCGGGAGGGGTGGAGCAAGGGGGGTTAGGCATGCCCAGGCTTGAATTAGGTTACTAAAATATTCAAGGGCCTCAACATGCTTGGGAGGGGGCGGGAGCAAGGGGGGTTGGGCATGCCTTGGGCTAAATTATTAAAAGGCCTCGCGCACAGGCTTGGGCACTGAAAATACGAAAGGGCCTCGCGCACAGGTTGAGCGCTGAAAACACGCTGCCAGCCGTGGGCGATGGGGGGTCGGGAAGGGTCGCGGGTTGGGCATGCCTTGCTAAGTTACAAAATTATTAAAGGGCCTGAAAAACGCCGTGTGACTAAACTATTAAAGATGAATTGGGATTGAATTACATTACCTCAATATTAACAAGCCTCGTGCACAGACTTGACCGCTGAAAACAGGCTGCCAGCCGTGGGCGATGGGGGTTCCGGACGGGTCGGGGGGGCAAGGGGAGTTGGGCATGCCTTGGGCTTGAACCAGGTTACCACATTGCGAAAGAGCCTCACGCACACGCCTGAGCACTGAAATCGGAAGGGGTCGCTGCCGTGGGACAGAAAGAAACTGGGCATGGCGGGTGAACACAACTTCCGTGCGCCGCGGACCGGGGCTCGGCGGATTGTCGGCAGGATGGTTTGGAACCAGCATGTAGCTGCACAGAGCAGGTTTTCATACGCTTGGACTGTCGACATCCTAAATCTGACATGCTGTATCCGTGGTAGGTGTTGCGATGGTCTTATCCGCACTGTCCGAGGCGTCTACCCAAAGCTTTTGTGGTAACTAGTGGCAGAGTAGCGTTGGGAAGGTCGCAGTGCACGGGCCGGATGGGAGGTGGGGCTAAGTTGGCAAGGATAAATCTCCCGCCCTCTTGATCCACGTTTCGGGGGGCTGATGTTTGTTGACGGGCAGCCTTTTTCCAGACCCAGCAGGTACGTCTTTCTCATAGCTAGAACGCTAGAGCAAGCCCTGGTTGAGTCTTTTGGGTTCTTTCTCGCAGCACCGACTTTTCCGCCAACATTTCAATTTGGGGCCAATTCGTCATTCCTTCATGTCTGGAGGAAGTTACGCGAGTTTCAAGACACGAGCTGCAAGACATCAGCTTTCAAATATAGGTCTTAAGACTTACCTGTAGACGCCGGAGCTGCCGCTTCCATTCCAGGAATCGCAGTACGGGCTAGGTTATGCGGATTGTGAACTGAAAGTCGACCTCCCGACCAGCCTCCTATGCAGAAGTTTAACAGAAACCTGAGGAGATGGACAGGCTGACCAAGCTCCAAAAAAGCTCTGTCGCAACTCAGGAACATCGAGCCCATCGATGATTTTTTGGCCATCAAGATATGCTTTCTTCTGCTGGAAGTGGTTCTGCAACCTGGCAACAGGCATTCCCAATGCTCCACGAGTTGCCGTTGCTTCGCCGGTAGCATACGCATTTGCTTACTAGTCGACCACGCAGCGGATTCAGCACTTTTTTGAATGAACATCATGAGCACCGGCAGTGCTCGGCTTGAAGCTTGGCATCGCCCGAAGAATCGAAAAACTTAGAAGAGGAATTCCTGGAAGCTACTGTGAACAGCAGTAACCCGCCCAGGTTACAGAAGGAGCCCGAGCAAGCCCTTCAGATCCTAAACTTCCTGGAGAAGCCAAACGCTTTCCACAGCCTCCTGAAGCCGGCTTCTCGTCTCGGAAATGGACGATGGGGAATTTGCGCCCACGTCCTCATTGCTTGGCCCAGGAGCGCAAGCCTCTTGAAGCTCCGCGTCCCATCGAAGATGAGGAGGAGGTCGAGGGTGAACAAATCAGGGAAGAGGACCTGGGTTGGAAAGAACTGCAGTAACGTGCAGCAAGACGGCAAAGAGTTTCTTGAAGATTCAACTGTCAGGCTTGTGTCAGCTGTACTCACAGGAGGAGCCTGCCGAAGCTGTGGCTGCAGCCGCAGATACCCAGAAGCTCGACTGCAGGGTATTGGGTGCTATTCCAGAGCAGTTGATGCCAAGGAGAATTCTCAGGGCTGAATGCTTCCATCAGCTTCCATCATTCATGTCGTCCCAACTCTTGTAGAGTCGCAGGGTAGGCATGCCTGAAGGTGAAGTTGCAGCAATCACTATCTTAGAGCTGCGGGTCGGATCAAAATGGGACGCTATTGGTACAACTTCCCACCTGCCACGTTTAGGGTATCGCCAAAGTTAAGGATGTCACATGTCATGTGTGCGGTTCCACAGCAGTTGAGTCTCTAGGCTCCTTGCACCTTGGAGCCTAAATGATTTGCCTCGTGCCTGTGCTGCTTGCGAGGCAGCCAGAGAAGCCGGAAGGGCCTCTACCAAGCTTGGTCTTTGGTGCTTCTTGGCCGCGCCTGCTCTTGAAGGCTGCTGAATTTAAGAGGCCTGTAGGTAAACCAGCCGAGGCCTGTCTTCAACGGCATGGCCGTGCACCGGATGCGATCTCGCCCATTGAGTTCAGATTCACTTGCCTGACCTACAAGATCCGCTCCTGGCTTCAAAACGGGCTTTTCGCATCCTAGGACTGCTGTGCAGGGTCTTACAATGCCGTCGCTGTAGCCTATTCATGTGTGGAGTGTCACATAACACGCCCACCAGCCCTGCCCCAGACAGGCACTGGCACTGTGTGTCTAGGCGCGACTGAATGCACTTTCTCGATCTCCTGAGGTGTTCACATCTTGTGCAGAAGCATGAAGTCAGCCAAGAAGGAATGCAAAAATGCGATGGCTCCCTGTTGGAATTAGCGTTTCCGTTCCTGGTACACGGTGTCCACATTGTGCGAAGAAGCTGTGCTCACGATGCCCCGTTGTAGTTCACAGCGCCGGCTGCCATGTGAGGAAATCCTGGAGCACGAGCTTCAACACGTCCCGCTTTTTTGGAAGGACGTCCGTGCTGCACACAGGCTGTTGAAATCTAGGTTCCCACGAACTCACAGAGAGGATTTTGCTTCTGCTTCTTCCTTGACAATCATTCACGACGACCGCGCATGTTAGTAGCATGGTAGCAGGTTCAACTTGGGAGAAGCGTACTTAAGCTTGTGGGCGATTACCACAAGTTCGAGAGAACGGTGCGCCGCTGCATGGCGAGGAATCGCAGAGCCATGAAGCGAGAGGTCTTCTGCACAACCACGACAAGGCAAAGGTGACCTGCCTGAAGGCACCTTGGCACATCTTAGACGCGCCACTGCTGTCAATTGTAAAGCCGGGAATTACGGAGACAAACACAGCGCTGACTGTTCAGGGGGGTTTTTATATAATATAGCATTTATGACTGGCGGTTCTGTCTCGCAGCATCCCGGACAGACCCATTGTTGGCATAACCAACTATATGCTGGGGCTGGACCGCTTCAGTCTGCACATGCCGCTCTTGAGGCATACCTCGAGTATGCCAAGCAGAACCACAGAAAGGCCAGGGTTGGACTGAAATCTCGAAGTCTTACTACATCAGCAACCTCTGATTGGCTGAATTTGGAAACATTGTTGAGCATTGCTGACATGGCTGTGCTTGGAAGAGAAGCACTGCTGCATGCTGCAGCCGCTCAAATTGACAGCCTGCCGCCGATTGGAGGCATTTCGCCTCCTCACGCTCTGCCGCTTCAACTTCGCACCCGCGAAACCTGGAGACAAGTCAGTGAACAAGCCAGGTGCGCCCACTGGTGCCGGCTTTGTGCAGTGTTTGGTTTGAGCACTTCAGGAGACGACGAGGTGGAGGACAACCAAGCGCCCACAGATTTCCATCCTGCCCAAGATGATGCTTGCTCTCCGCTGCGACTTGCACGCACTCGCAGTGTCACGTGCTCGATTGAGAGCTTCTGACTCAGCACCTCTTTCAGGTTCTACAACAACATGGGCTGTATACACTTCATGATGCACAAGCCCAATTTGGCGATCTACTACTTCAACAAGGACACTTCAACGAACAGTTGCACGCATTCGCCAGACATTTGCCATGTCAAAACCATTCTGCAAGGCGCTGTCGAAGTCGGCCCAGGCGCCCACTGGGGCCCGCGGACCTGCGGAAAAGGAGCTCGGGCTGGACTAACGCAGGGTCCGTAAGGTCAGCCAGCGATGCAGTCTAATTAACATCCCACCCGACATCTTGCAAATGTCCTGATGTGTCCAGCAGTGCTGCGACATACGCAGGAAACGCTGTTTGGGCTGGCATCTGGTTTGGGCAAGAGTACTGAAAGTTGAATTGAGAGGGTTAGAGTTCCTTCGTTCGAACCACTCCGCTGACCTGAGGGTACTAAAAACCACCACGGCGGACTTGACTGTGTGCTCAGGAGTGCTAAGGCTGAGGCCTTCAAACCATGCAAAAACCAATCAGCGACCAGTGCTCCCGGGCAGTCTAACTTCCGTGCTTGAGTGCGTGATTCAGGGTTCGCCTTGTTGGTTTACACGCAGGACAGACAATTCGTAGGTGAGGTTCTTGGGCCTTCGCTGTCAGTGCAGCTCAGCAACAGATGCAGCCGTAAACCACTCGGGCCAACGTCACAAACAGCGGCAGACATCTGTAGACAGAATGGCGACAACCTTGTGAAAACGCAGTGTAACGGCTTTCAAGGCTGTTCCTCGACAGTCGAATCGCGACGAAAAGCCTGCCTGAGAGCCTGCCAGCAAACTATACCAAATCCTTACCTAGCGAACCCAGACAGGACCCCAGAAATCTTCAGGAGAGCTTGCTGCTGTCGGCCAAAGTCGGACTTACTCAGCCCGGCATGGCGACCTCCAGGCGCCCTGCAGAACTTAGCAGTGTCTGCAGGCAAAGCTTCAGAAATTTCAGCAAGTCCGGCTTTGCAGCAGCGCGTGGGGCCCGACAATCAAAGTCACTGCCAGTGGCAAAACTAAATGGAATGTGCGAGGCATCATGAGGCCCAGGGCAATCAAGAGCCCAAGCGCCGCTTTTTCGGACATGAGTGCCACATGCATATCCTTGACCCACTATCATATTATCAATTACCGACTTTGTCAGGCACTGGCTGGACCGACGGGCGGAAATCACCTTCAACTCCGGGCTCCAGTTCCTGATGACTGGCCGGCCAGCGCAAGCCTACAAGTGCCCTTCTGTGGGACGGGGAAACGATTGAAAGGAATCAGCGAGCGAGCCCCAGCCCCAGCGAGAGAAGGAGGAGGAGGAGCAGGAGGGTGAGGAAGTGAACAAAGAACGATAGGTTAACAGCAGGTCGACATCTGGTAGCTGCAGACTCGAGCTGCCAGGGACAGGATATCCATACTGGGAAGCGAACTCTGTACAAGAGAAGCACAGAGTGGTACGTGAGAGAAGCTACCCGTAATCCTGGCTCACTCTTCTCCGGGGAACTTGTGGGAGATTGGCTTTGCATGCCCCAATTCTGAGTTCGATCCAAGTTTACAAGGCAAAAGCTCGCGCCTGAACGTAAGAGGTTGGTGCCGAGGACTCACCCCACCGACGAGGTCGAAGTTCGCAGGAAAGGATTTGCATCATTGCACTTTATGGCACTATGTAGCACGACAGAAGTCTGAGTAGAATCGTTTAACAACGCACCCCATCATATCTTAGGAGCCGTGTGGTGATTTCGAATAGCGTGCGCAGGAATGGGAGTCTTTCAGCCAAGCCACTGTTTGAGAAAATCCAGCAACGGGAGGCTCCATCAGACCCGGTCATACAATCACCAACCTTCAATGGGCAAATGAGCATGTCGCAAGAAGCCCTTTGCAGGTGCTTCATGCAGTGCACTTTCGTCTTCAGGAACTGGCCGCGACTGCCCCTCGTTTAGGATTCAGATGTAGGAATGGACGGAGGTAGGCTTGATCCACTTTTGACCTGTAAGACGAGGTCGGAAAGGCTCAGTGAGGATGTTGCCACCATATGCCACAATCACTACACCGTATCGCGCCCATCAAAGCCACGACGTGAGGTGGATGCGCCTCGCGGAGTGTTGCATCGAGCTGTACAGGCAGTCCCACAAAGCTGAACCAGAAGGCGGCCCTGAGCGCGGGGAGCTGAAGGCCTGCTGCGTGCAAAACACTGAGGCGGGTCGAAGCCTGGTGGAATGCAATCCTGGAACCGGGCCGCTCGCCGAAAGAATCGTAACGGATCCATGCTGCATCACCTTGTTGGGATGGGGCCTGCTTGGTTGTGGCGGTGCTTGGATCTTTTGCATGTCTGCTTGAGCAGCCGTCATATCTGAGACCTTGCCACTTTATACCATATGTGGCATGCTGCTCATAAGTCATATTCACGGCAAGTGCCCTGCAGCCTCGGGCTGAATGTGCATCCTGATCAGAGTGGCCCAGTGGAACCGCTCTTTTGATGCCTCTTCCCTTCCTCTTCCAAGCCTCTGCTGGCAGGGCATAGCTAGAGGCTCCCCGAATACCAGCAAGACTTCTCAGCCTGAATGCCGCTGCGTCTTCAGCCACTTCCCCAGTACATGTTCTGAGTGTAAAAACAAGCCTGGCCCGATTCGGGCTTCTCATGTTCGAAATCCCACACCCCTCACTGCCAAAAAGGCATTGCCCTGCCCTGTCGACTAAGGGCGAAAGTCTGCCCAGTACCCAAGGGCCTCGGCACCTTAAAGATGCGGCACATTCCTGGAAGGTGAAGCAGCCGAGCCCAAACGGCCCCCTCGCCATGGGTGGGTCCATCTGCACGTCCCTAGGACGGGGCAGAGACCGGAAAGAACCTCTGCTTCTGTCGTTTGTGCCCTTGCGCAGCAGGAGGGCCGACTGCCCTTGGGTCGGGGATGTCGCAGCTCGCCTGTGCTGCTCAAGGCTTGTTAAGCAGCATGCTGGTTAAAATCTTTGGCGAAGGATTCGGCATTTTTTCTGTCAACATGATGGGTGCAAGTCCATGCCGCTGTCGGTTGCAGTCGCGCAGGGTATGTCTGGCTCTTTTCTCGTCCACTCTGCTGGCAGGATGCGGTCCCACCCGGCGACTTTCCTTGCTCGTTGACAAGAGTCTTGGTGAATCAGTACAGCAGTGGCAGATGTCGTTACATTTGCATGGTTGGCCGATGGGAGGTGAGTTTGCCCCAACCGCTTAGGACCAATGTCGTGGGAAAGCTTGGAAGTGGCGAGGACAGTGACAGATTTGACGACTGGTCGGAGTTAGCATGCATCGGTCGAATGCTGCCTTCCACTACCAGGAGTTGTGCCGAAGAGAGGGGGAAACAGCAAGCAAGCAAGAGAGCTGATTTGCATGCAGGGGAACAGGACCGATCCCCAGCCCCGGAAGGGGTCACTCCGACTAACCGAAGAGAACTGTAGAGGGGTAGGCCTTCGGGCCAGGGGGTTTCAGCCCCAAGCAAGCAAGCAAGCAAGCAAGCAAGCAAGAGAGCTGATTTTGGCCCAAGCGGACCGAGTTCCCGCTCTCCGCCTCGAGGGTTCTCTGCCTTCCCTTCGTCTATCCGAAGACTCAGGGGCCTCAACCCGGCCGCTTCACTTTTCTCCACCGCTTCTCCTGCCTTCCGCTGCGATTGCATGGCCACGACACCGTGATCTTTGCCCGGCACGCCTTCCACGCTCTGCCAGGCGACCTCGTTGTGCAACGTTCCTGCCGCGTGACCGCTGCACTGCTGCACCTTAGGGAGCCCCGACCGGCTACGTGACGGTGACCGGCTAGGGGGAAAAGGATCCAATCACGCCCCAGCGCCGTCAACCCCTCGGCGTGTGGGGGGCCTCGCGTCTCTAAAGAGGTGCGGCAAAAAACTTTGCAAGCCAGCCCCCATATACAATGACCTCACCACGCTTCTGTACCAGTCCCCCCGCGGTCTGGACCAGACCGCGGGGGCCGTGCAACAGACAACTGACGCCGTGCTGGAACAAGACACGTCGAGAAGCCCCAAGCAGCCCCCACCGAGGAGGCCCAGCCCGTTGATGGACGGGGAGCCAAGCCCCCTGCGAGCTAGCAGTTGCAGCAGTGGAACTTCTGGCAGATGACCTCCGAACTGGAAGGAGACCGACCATGGAACTACTGGAACATGTGACTGCGTTATGGTCATAGTGGGTCGGGGGAAACACGGGGATAATCCTCGCTGGTCTCACGCCGACGTGCACTGGACGCAAGACGTTGGGAGCCCTATGGAGCACTGCGGTGCTTTTGCTCTTGCGCAAGCAAGCAAGAGCCGTCAACAAGTGGGACTAGTACTGGCATCTGTCACGGCTTGGAGACAGAGCGCGTGGGGAGTGGAACCGTACGAGCTGGACAAGCAGACCACAGAAGCAGAAAAAGAAGCTCCACAAGCTAGCACTCGTCACTGTTCCAGGGGGGCTACCAACTTGAGACAAAGACTGGAACCACACTTCCACGCCTACCCCCGCCTTGACACCAGAACAAAACCGAGCCTCGCCTCACACTGCTTGTGTCTACCTGCCCCACCTTTCATCCCATCCCTGAACCTCGCGGCACGTGGCAGTCAGCACACAACCAATCACAACCTATAAAGGCCCAAAAGCACACGAACAACTTTCTGTCTGCCCCTGCTGCCGTGACACTACTCACTCCGCCCTCTGGAGGCTGCCTCCTGGCAGGCATGGCAATAAGAGGGCGAGCCGTTTCACGACCCCTTCCAGAAACCTGCAGCAAGCAAGAGAAAGCTACCTGACGCCTCGTATTATCGACTATAGACGCAGGCGGAGCAGCTCGCTTGATCTGGATGGTCGTGTTTCCCAGAAAGTTGTCCAGATCGCTATGTCGGGGCAAAAGTCTCAAGCGAGTGCAGAGTCGGGCCCATCCAGTGCCGTGTGCATTTACTCTTGAAGGTTGGCCTTCATTCATGTCATGCTGCGGTGGTAACCTGAAGCTTACTTGCTAGCTTGCTGCTCACTTGCACTGAGAGCGGAGCATGAGGCAAAGGATCGGGGAAGATTTTGTTATGTCGTCTGCAGTCTGCCATGCTGTTTCTTGGGAGACCTGATCCTTGCTATTTGGCCCCGCTTTATTCGAGCCGCATTGGAGCCCCATCACTCAGATTCTCGTCTGGTTTTTTCTGCTGACTTCAATATCATTCGGTCGGGGTTGTACACCTAGCCCTTTGTCGCCTCCGCTCTTTCCACTCCGAACCGCCTTCTCTAGTTCCGCAGAAAGAATGAGAAAGAGAGAGAGAGAGAGAGAGAGCACAAGGCAGGGCTCTTTCGAGACTCCATGACCCCCGGCATGCAAGCAAGAGAGAGCGCGAGAAAACCGGGGTCTCACCAGTAAGAGATCCACGGTGGGCACGGCAACGGAGAGTCTACTTGCCCTAGAAAAGATATCGCGGGGCTTCTGTGGCTCCTGCAGCATCGAGTGTGCAGTATGCGTAGCTTCATGAATGTGTTGTGGGCTCGAGTCGGCGTGATGCATGATCAGGGCTGAACAGTTGGTCAGACTGCCCAAGTGCACACACAAGGCTGCAACAGGTGATGTTCTGGGTTCTATAGGCCGCCTGCCCAAGTAGCCAAGCCCTGCGCTTGCCACAGGATGTCGAGCAACGCACAGGGCCGGCCGGTGCTGCGCCTGTGCCGCAGGCCAGGCTGCGGCTCAGAACCCTTCTTTCCCTTCATCATTCTGTGGACAGGCGACGAAGGCCCCAGCCGCGGAGGGAGATGTGCTGAATGGTGAGGAGTATTGGCCTGCCGGGGTTGGTTGTTTCTGAAATTGCTGTTGCTGCGGTCCAATTTCGTGCAAAAAAAGGTGCATGCTGCAATTCAGTTGCGAACATAGTAGTATAGTGGCGGTGCCTCCATGTAGGATCCCTTGGTGACAGCGGCAATGTGCCTCAAAAACGTCCTGACTCTGATCGATCCTATGCTTCAGAGCGCGGCCCAGGCCGTGGCACAAGCTGTTAAAGTTAAAGGAAGGGTGCTGTTTTGGATTGGGGAAGGAGCTACCAAGATGATTTTGAGGGTAGGCCTCAGAGCGCGCACTCTAGGAAGAATATGCTGAGCATCAGGGAGAGGGGTTTCGGCGCTGAAGCATTACAGTGAAAACCCTGTTTAAGAACCCCGTTCGGCGAGACTAGCGTACCCTAGAGTTCTTAATTTCCATTACCTCTGATATTGGCCGGCTAGGCAGCTAGGGTCGGCTAAGGTTCTTACCAACAACTTGACCACCAACCGCCAAATTAAGAACCTTAGCCCCCCTAAGGTTCTAATTCCGGCGTTTTCAGAACAAGCCAAACCATGACGAACCCAACAAATTAAGAACCTGACCCCGAAAACTAGGGTACCCTAAGGTTCTTATTATTTTGAAGCAACCTGAATATTGTGAATCTCGCCGCGGGTAGGGGCATTCTTCTACAGTGTTTTCACTGTAGGTGCACCACCGTTTCTTTCGTCTTGGACCACAGACGATAGAATCGATAGAAAATTATGGAAAAGGCGGCCGAGACTGCAGAAGCCAATGCTGCTGCGGCTGGCAAGGCTACTCCCTCACAGAAGGCGTGGCGAGATCGGCAGAGCAGAAGTGAAACGTTCACTGTGCATTTACCTACGCCCCAGATTGCACGAACCGGAGCATAGGCAAAGGGAGAGATCCGAGCTCTTGGCTCTTTGGAGGCATCCGGCTCGGGAGCGCCGACGCCTTCCAAGAGCGCCACCGCCCGGGATCTGGCGCCGCCTCAAGACGTCCGCTCCTCGGACGAGTTCAGGATATAGCGATGTGGAGCCCAGGCCGAGGCCGAAGCGCTGCTCATGGAGGACGCTGCGCTATTGAAGTTGGCCTATGTCTGCCTCTGCTGCTTGGACCAGAGTGCGCAGGAGGCACAACTAACTCTAGAGAAGGTGCGAGAGGGTAACGGACAGCATGTGAGCGAAAGGCAGCAAGCTCGGAGCATTAGTGATTTACTACTACTCCTGCTGCTGCTGCTGCTGCTGCTGCTACTGCTGCTGCTACTGCTGCTACTACTACTACTCCTCCTCCTGCTACCATTGCTGCTGCTGCTACTGTCACTGCTACTGCCACTAGCCACTGCTACTAGCTCCTGCTGCTGATGCTGTGACGATGTGGCGATGTGACGATGACATCGACGGCTGCTACTAGCATTGATTTTTCATCAATCAGTTTTCGGGATACCTGCTGGCGGTCAAAAGCAACACCCCAATGCTCAAATGGCGGTTTGCGAGACCATGCCCAGTTGCAATGCGACCTGAGCCGGGCATAATGTGAGGCTTTTGAACCTTTCTATATGAAACCAAGCGTACTGCAAGGCTACGTTAAACTCAACATGAGGCAAAGATGTAGTGATGTGCTTGCCGGCTGAAATTACAACGATAGGGAAGCCCAACACCTGTACGACCGATATTCTTACCTGCCTTCACTCACTCACGAAGATTGCCCGTGCTTCATGTCAGATGGAGAAGTGGAAAATAGAATTCGGGATGTGCCTGTGGCCCAAGCAAGTCTTGACAGAGTTTTGCCAAGGCCAGCGAGATCACACGCCTGCTTTGCGCTATGCCAAGCGCATACTGGACCCGTGTTCTGCTGTTGATTGACGGTATGCAAGCACAGCACGAGTACGAGCTGAGCCGCCTTTCTTTTCTGGTTTTGGTTTGCATAGTTTGCATGACCTCCCTGGCAACCCTTCAAACATCGAGTTCAGTCTGAGTCTAAGTGATTCTACGTGCTTGCCCGACTCACCCAACTCTTTGACGGCTTCCGTGTGATCCCGTGAGGACAAGAACCACTTGCTGCCGGCACCATCTCCTGAGGCACGAACTCCCGACGAGAAGCAGGTTGGTCGGGATAAGGTATCTTCCGAAGACAGTTCCGGTCGTAGAGTTGACCGATCCATTCGTGGATTACGACAAGTGGAGTTTGCATCACACTCGAATGACATGGTACTCAGGACATGCAATTGTGAAACTGCATCGTTGACATGCGCGATGATAGCATGAGAGGAGGTCTTATCATGAGTGCCATGATGAGTCCCTGCTGCAAGCACCGTGGAGCGAGTGCTTGCAGTTGTTGTCGTGAGTGTGGCATGCTCTCTGAAAAAGCTGAATCTGCAAGGAGCAGCTGAAGAAAAGCTGGACCATCCAGGCATGCATGCTCTGACTTGAACTGTGCTTCTTGCCACTGCCCTGAAAGATGATGACCTCTCTCGCACTGTCAGCTGGTTTCAGGCATGTAGGGGCTTGCTAGATCAGACCCGATGTTGCAGCAATCTGTCAACGATCGCACCTTCACAGCTGAAAGCTTCAAACACTTCAGATATGAGCGTTTCAGAGCAGCTGGCGTTCAGGCGCAGAACTTGCCGCATCCCAAGGATGCGAAAGTTGTGACCAGGTGCGGCGGGAAGGTGTCGATGCGGGTGAGATTGCATAGCTTGTGCCGGCAGCGTGTTGCAGCCAGCAATGCCCCGCGCCCATGTCTAGCTGTTAGCCACTCCTTCAAAAGGTTTCCTTTCGGGCACGGTAGCTTTTCAGGTCCGTCCGACGGCGGTGTATTGTAACGTTGCATATATATATATATATATAAATGTCCATATTCACATTAATATCCTAGTCCAGTCTATCATATCATATTATATTAAACATCATTATATTATATATCATTACGCTACTACATTCGATTATGTTATGTTATGTTATATCATATCATATCATATCATATTCTATTCTATTCTGTTATATTATATTATATTATGTTATATTATATTATATTTTGTTCTATTGCATTATATTGTATTATATTATATTATATGCTGTTAGACAATATTATATCATATTATATTATAT